TCCCGAATTATTTTGTGAAGATTGGCTGCCAACCGCCGTCACCGTTGCTACCCGATATGTATTGCTAGAGTAGCTTCACCACAGTACTTGCCACAAACGCGTGCATACATACAAACGGACAGACAGAGTTCGACTCAATTATTGATGTTATTGCAGCTATACGAAATAAATGTCTTATCCGGCCAGCTCTGATACATGTACTGTCGTTGAAGAGTATACACTTCTACTTGTATTTGTAAACATTTCATGACAATATTGGAGTACCCTCTACAAGGGCACACAAAAGTGCATAAAGTGTAAATAGTGGCGATTAGCATACATATTGATGGGGGGGATCGACTGGTAAGAAGCGAATAAATACCAACATCAAGCAACGCATTTTTGCATTATGTTTGCCGGCCTTTGAGAAAATCATTTCACTCGCAGTTTCATGTTAAGTAATGCACGCCCATTGGACACACTGGCACATACATGAGTCACACACTTGCCCAGCACAATTCACAGCCCCTACACATATGCATAAATACATATACTTGTGCGCTGGCGATGCTGCATTGCCTGTTCAGCAGCATTTCCTTTTGCGTGTCTGTCCTTGCGTGGCATTTTCTACTCTTATTCGCAGCGCTTTTCTCTAGCTTTTCTGGCTGCTGCTGCTGGCCTGGGTCATTTTTTCTGCAGCTGCCAGCTGAGCTTTAGTGATGAAGGGTGCAGCTTAAAAATGAATCATTTGACTTTTTCTTATTTAATAATTTATAAGAATTAGCAGAGATTTGCATTTTTTCCTCGCTCGCAGTTGGCGCTGCGAATTTCTATTTAATTTGAAATTTATTGCAAGCAATTTTCTTTTTGCTTGCTGCGTATCTTTCGTAGCTCTTGCGGCCGCATCCGCACTTTAAAGTGGCCAAACGGCAATGCGAATACAGACTTTCGTTTTGTATCTTCTAGTTTGTATCTTGTTGTTTGTTGTGGCCGCCAAAAGTTTCCCTATTCGGATGCACACTGCATTTGCATTTGGGTTTTGACATTTGAGAGCGGCAACGGCCGCTAAACTGATGCTTCATTAGCAATGCCAACAAAAACCGACAATAAAACCCCTCTCAAATTGTTTCTCAAACTGTGTCTGGAGTTATATCTCGTGGTGTTGCACTTTGTTTGGCTTAGCTTGGCATGCACCCCAAATACGCGTTAATTTTCATCTTCATTTGTCTTTTGAATTTGCATTTGACAGACAAGTTGTGGCATTGTGGCCGTCTCAGCCCAGTTCCAGTGTGGGGGGGTCTAGCTTCGTCTTTCAGATTTGACATATCTGTTGTTGTTCTGTTGTTGCAACAGCCAGCAAAAGCTTTAGTTACCATTAATGCCGCCAAGCGAACAGTGCATCCTCTGAGTTTCATCATCTTGCTTGTCCTTAACTGGGACCTGGTCCTGCGAGTTGCACGGATGCTGCAGCCATTGCTCATTGACTGAGTTCTTAAGTGAGCTGAAGCAAAAGTTCTTAAATTATTGTAATTTCATGCCAATGCTGCCAGCAAGAATTTGCTGGCAAGCTGAGCCGTCTGTCTGTCTTTCCGCCTGGCCCAGCTTAAAGTTGTACACTAATTAATTAACTTTGCTTGCTTAAGAAATGAAACACAAATAACTTTGACATTTGTTTGCATAATCTAATTACGTATCCATTTTTGCCATAAACGATGCTCAACGAGCCACGTCAACCTTGCACATCTTAGCAACTAGATTCGCCAACCCAAATCCTTATTAAACTGACTTAAGGCAGCACATTCACATCCTTGTCAGATATTTATCACAATTTACACAACTATGAGTAGTTGACTCTTATTACTTGCTTTCTGGCTTGCATTTAATGCAGAGTGGGCGGTTCCAATTAAGGCCCGATTCAGTTGTAAATCAATTTGCTTTAGAGTTATATATAACTCATAATTAATACGATTGCTGCAGCGGCTATCTGTGTTTAGAAAAGTTTTAGATAACAAATAAGTCAACGCAATGATACTTAAGATTCATATTAACTATTTGCAATATAATACACTGAACAAATAAGTCGAATCAATTGAATAAGAGTTGTGTATGCTATTTAAATATATCCAACAAGAGGACTGTATTGCATTGCTTTAAAGGTTTCTGGATATTGCTCAGCAGCAGAAAATTTGCATTATATTAATTTGTGCGTTTTATTATATTTTTGTTTACGTCTCCACACACTCATGTATTTGTATTTTATTAATGTGGTAGTTCGACTTTTTGTGTATACATCGCACAATGCGTGCCAATAATCCAAGGACTTAAAAGCTCATATACAAAGCGTAACCCTTTTTGCAAATATTTGCAACACATAACATAATATTTGTTATGTTTAACCCATTTTAAACGTAAGCTCTTTTAGTTAAAAGGAAGCATTTAAAATGTCGAAATGCTTGTTGGGGTTTTTATAAGCGAGTGACTGATGACAAAACGGATGCCAACTTATAAGCAAAGGGCAAGTATTTTGGACGACAAAGGGAATATATAGGCTGCGTTCAGTATGCATTCGATTTGTTAGAAATGTTTTAATCGATTTTATGCAAATGAAGTTCTCTTTGCTTTAGCTTTGCACACACTCAAAGCCATCACAAAATAATAAAAATAATAATAAAATTCTAGGTCTGGCTGACCATATACACAAACATAGAGACACACTTAAAATCTGTGCGTTCACAAACCGACCCATTCTGGCCACAAATAAATAATTTTATTTTCCGTTAGAGATGCAAATGTTATGCAAACAAAGAAAACTTCCTAATGGAATTTCTCACATGTCTGACATATGCATAAAACCTTCTAACCAAACATTTCAACCACCTCGACCACTCACTGGACACTTTACAAAAAAAAAAAAAAATTGTTTACCATGAAAAGTGGCTCAAGTTTTGCAATTTGAAAGGCGATCGAGCTTTTGGAATTCAATGCTTGCCCCGTGTCAATCCCAAATATGTAAATGAGTTCTCCCCCGCCTCCCCGCCCCTACATACGTGTACGTAATGTGTATGTGTATTTGTGTAGGGTAGCAATGCTGTTGCTGCTGGTATTTGTTGTTGTTGTGGCTAAGCGTTTTGCTGCATTGTGGTTTTGGTGCACCAAGCTAATGAGTTTGTGGTTTCCAGAACATCGAGCATAATTGCTTTTAATTGCAATAAGCGAATTATTCAGACTTGTAGCTGTGGTTGCCATAGCAGAAGACAAAGCCCAGATGAAGGGCACTAGATTTCCACTCCAATCATAAATACATTCTATACTGTATGACTTAAATGGGGTCCCTATTAATAGAGCTCTACCCTGTTCATGCCCTCAAATCCGATTACCATATACTTTCAGTTTGAGGGGAGCAATAGATTCTTTTCTATTGATTGCGATAATTAAAACAATGCGTCACACATACACATATATAACTAATCAAGATACTATCGGTTGCATAATAAATTGAAAAGTTCGATGTCTTATCAGAGTGTATTTTAATTGAAGTACGGAAATCGCTTAGGAATATCCAATTAGAAATGGTTAATTAGAAAATTCGGCTTTAAGTCCAGCCTTGACGTTGGGGCACTTAAATTACGGCAAAGCGGGCGAAAACTTTTCGGCAACTTTGGCCGCCTGTTTGACAATTGAAACAATTGCAGAAAACTTTGCGTGCCAGCGAAATGCCAGCTAATAGTTAGTTCCTCTGTCAGCCTCTGCATCCCCTACTGTCAGTGCCAGCGGCATCGTTATGCCATCCTCAGAGCTGTGAGTAATGGCGCCTCAAAACGCATTCGCCACAAAACATGAAAAGTAAAGCCGCTTTTGTTTGCTGCATGTCCCGCTTACCAAAGTGCTTGTATGTGTGCGAGTTTGTCAGTCTGTATGTGGGGTGCGATGCCAATTAAAGAACCAAACAAAACCACAATAGGCTTATCACATTTGTTGTTGCTGTTACTCTAGCCAATGAGCAGCCAAATTGAATCTGCTTTTGTTATGGCTGGTAGATTCTGGAATGGGATTAACGATAAAATGAATATATTGGCAATGCATTGTTTTGTTCCCAGGAGCACCACACAATTCTTAGGGGGCAGCTTTGCTGTAGGTCTAGTTCATAGCCAATTGGCAGCGAAAAGTTTGACTATCAGACTTTCATGCAGTCGGATCAATTGGGCTCATCATTTGTTTTTACTTTCCCCACTTTTAATTGCATTCATCAATCATTATGTGCACAGTCAGTCGACTTCAACAGTAGCTGGTGCATCTTTTTGCTACTTTCCAAAATTTCTGTGCTTAAAATCGAAAAAAGAAGAGATTAATATCCCTGATAATCGCCAGTGAATGTCCAGTAATTGATTTATCGATGGCGGGTCAATTGCAAGCAGTTAAAATAATATGACATTATCTGAAATTTATGCATCGGTTTTTCTTTGAGCTGTAAAATACGATGATCAATGAATTTTTCTTTTTGTTATTTTCGATGGCATCATACGAATTACAACAAACCATTTTATATATACAAATAAAATAATAGACTTGAGTTTGAATATGTTAAGTATGGATTTTGAAATTTTTCCGTAAATATCATATTGCTTGCTATTCTCTAGTGTTGGACCAACTTTCGGTATTCAACTTCAACCGATTTAAAATGATTTACAGCAATGGAAAGTCTTTAGATATAGCGACAATTAAATACTTCTGAATCCTTAAAAATTGCTGCGTAAAATTTTGAAAATTTAAATGCAACCTTGTCTATGGATAAAGTTTACAAATCTAAAACAGAAAAAAAAAAAAACAGAATTATAGTCAGGGAAAAAAATGAGCGCTGCATAATTCAGGAAATCCAGAAACACACAGTTAAAATCAGTGCAAATAAAAAAATCAAGGGCAAATGAATTATATTTTTTCGAAATGTGCAGCAGTTGTTAATTGTGATATTTTTATCAAAATATTTGAACAATAGGTTTTTGTTGTTGATGTTTTTGTTGTGACTTCGATGTTTATTTAATTTTTTTCGTGTTCTTGATTACCGCCTGCATACACAATTATTAAAGTGTTGGGACTGTATTTGTATTTCTGACGTTTGGCAAACATAAATAAGTTCAATGTACACATACACAGCCACACACACACAGCCACACACCCAGACGCACACACAATGCGAGGTCGCGACGTTTAGTTCATAAGCGTTAACTATTAATTCAGCAAATGGCTGCCATTGAGCTAATTGGAAACGCTAAATGCGAATGTGATACCAAAGCTCGAAGGGCGGCCCCAGCAGTTGCTCGGGCTACTAATTTTATTTGTAGCAATTAAATAGCACCCCAGGGTGTGTTTTTGACCTGCAGCGCTCACACAAAGCAGCTACCCATAGAGTCCCCCAAGCAAATGAGATTTGGCGAATCGATTTGTGAAATTTAAGAGAAAATTATATATCCGATATATATTTGGAATTTTGAAGCACCGCCTGGCAGCAGGGCATCAAATTCGAGGGCTTGTAAGCCTTTAGGGTTTTGTAAAAGTGCGGGCCTGCAGTGATGACCTGCTCGAGATAGATATTGAAGAGCTCATAGTTCAAATACTGCCAATTGGGACACTTGTACAGATGATGATGGGGCGCGATATCATCGATGATCCATTCACGCTGCTGTGCTTGCTGCATTTGCAATGGTTCCTGCAATCCGGAATCGGAATTCATGAAATGTTGTGTCACCGTATACGATAGTCCCACATTGATCGCAGACTGCACTACGGGATTGTCTAGCAGTTCCTTTAGTTCTGGCAGCGTTTGCTTTGTTTTCAGGGAGAGTATATACCAGGCTGGCATCAGATTGAATCTTACGGCTCTCATTAGCAGCTCGGTATGTGCTTTCCGAGCCTCCCAGTCGTACATCATCCAGCGAAAGGCGCTCATAAAGACCTCCATCTCAGAGTTGACGCTGATAATGCTCGTCTTGAGCATGTCATAGATTTGCTCCGGTTTCAGCTTCAGGTACTCCACTGTCGCCACTGCAGATAAAAAGAAGCGGCTGATTCGGGTCAGCAGCAGGGATTGCAATGTGCTCGTATCATGGGGTACTGCCTGTAGATATAGCTTGAAGGCCTCTCCTTCGCGGAAGAACTCGACATTTTCGAAGCAATACCACAGCTGATTAATCAGTGGAGGCATTTGCAAAAAGCGCGCTGCCAGATATAAGTCCACAATCCCTTCGCGTGAGGGGCTTGCGTCCTGCTTGGTCATCCATTCATAGGCCTTCTCAAAGCCAATTTTCGTTACCTCCGGCACGTTGAGAACTATTAGGTTCGTTGAGCTGAACTGCTTAAAGTATTCCGTGGACACCTGCAGCACTGCCAAATGGCAATCGAAAATGTGACCATGCACTTTCACCTGGACATCGGTGTAAATGCGATCTTCCACAACTTTGGCAATAGCAGCCTTCAGAGTTTCCTGATTGCATATAAGATGACATTTGATAGATTCATCAAATATGAAACCCATTTCATCGAGAGTACGCGGCTCCAAAGGCGTATAAACATTTTCGGGGCATTCTCGGCAACTTTCGGTAATTTGTTTCAGTGTCTTTGCATCTCTGCAAATAATTGCTTACTAGCGCTATTTGTTTTCTAGCTGATAAGTTTACTCACAGCTTTCCAATCGCCAGTTTATTATCAGCAGGCAACGTGCAGTCTTCGACCTGCTCAATCACATCCTGCGCCTTTGACTCGCTCATTCTGTAACATGGAATTTATCTTATGTTGTTTATTTACTATACAAAATAAAAATCAAAGCACACTTGTTTTACTCGTTGATGTTGCTGTTGTTGCTGTTGCTTTTGCTGTCTTAACACAATATTTGTACTATTAGCAGCTTTATTTGCGGCTGGCAAATAGGGCCTGGGAAAACATCACTTAAACTGCATTTAAGCAGCACCTAACACTGCTAGGCTATATACAGGATTTGAAATCCGTAGTTAGCTGCTCGTTTTTAGTGCCAGCTTCAGCTTAAGGGCTTCGCTTGAGTGGAAGTCCGGCATTTATCTGTGCTGTCGGAAGGGTACGCGGGCTGGGATTGCCATGTGCTGGCCACCTCATCTCGAATCAGGGCAACCACAAATTCCAGTCATTACAGGCAATGACTTTAAGCGAAGGCCGGGCAAGATTTTATGTACCAACAACAAGCAAGCCAGTTCCCCATTTCTTGGCTCTCCGACCAAGCAGGTGGTGACCACAGGAATGGTGAGGCAGGGTGTGGCATGTACTGTGGTGAAGCTACTCTAGCAATACATATCGGGTAGCAACGGTGACGGCGGTTGGCAGCCAATCTTCACAAAATAATTCGGGAAGTAGTCACCGAGGCCCCTCGTGGTTGAGTTAGCATGGCAGGGCGGGATCCTCTTGTTCCCTAGCTCTTTCGGGTGGGGGGGTTCTTTTTGCCATGTCTCGACCTGCATACACAATTTTATTTTAGGATCCCTACAGAATCTAAATTGGAGACCGATACTCCGCAGAAACAAAATCTCAAACAGGCATAACTTAACGAGCACTTAAAGTGCCAATACAATGGTGATAGCTTTCATTAGGGCATATATATTCCGAAGAGGCGAAGTCTTGGATGTAAGCTGACTCTCGCGTTCGATACCCTCCCAACCATGATCTTCAGCGTTTAAGGTTTTGAAGATCCCAAAAAAAACATTCTTCTACTACATTATATCACCATGTCACCAGGAAAGAAAACTTAGCAATTCATAATCAAAATCCGTAATTAATATTTATTATAAACAAAAGCATTATTCAATGAAACTGAATCCTTCCGTTAGATAATCTGCATCTTATTACAAGTGGCATTAATGATTCAACAATAATTCAGTAACTAAAACTAGTCCGTTAATATTTTTACAATGTCTCAAAGATTCTTCAAAAATAATTCATTTTATAAACTATTCAGTTAATATTTTTTTTCTTATTGATCAAAAAGAAACTCTCCAAATTTCGCTAAAGTGCATTTTAATAATTATAGAATATAGCTAGGTAAGAAAAAAATGACATTCGTAAATTGAACTAAAGTGTATTCGGCAAAAGCAAAAAAAAAAAAAAGTTATTATAATAGAGTCAATACAATTGTAGTTGATGGTTAATTGTATGGTCGAAAAAAATATGGGCAACAGAAGGTTAAGCTCAAAGCGCATGGGCAAATCGGAGCGCAGCGCAACCAGCTGATCGGTGAATACGATGATACATCTTTGTGTACATATATTTGATTCTGTTAAAAATCTTTTCTTTTAGGTTGCTTCTGTTTCAGCTAGTAATTGAGCGGGGTGTAGGTAGAATCAAAGATGATAAGCATTCACCAGACTGACACGGTCATAAACATATTGATCGGAGCTAAAGCGTAATGTGAAACAGAAAGTAAAAAAAAACTCAGCAGGTGCGCATGTCAGTTTGGCTGTGCTTATCTGTGCCAAAATAAGAAAATATACTCAAAACAAAAGGTTAAAAACTTACATGTATTCCTCGATGAAAGGCCTTCCAGCGGAGAGTTTGCAGCAAATTTTATTTAATTTTTTTTTCATTTGTTTTCTTTTGTCTTCTGTGGGGCTTTAAATTGTTTTGATTATATTATTATGGCACAGGAGGGTTTTTAAATTGTGAGTACTAAGAAGATACTCTCCGAAAATAAGTGGGAAAAAAAATATAAAAAAAATTCTGAAATGACTTTGGACTCTACAAGAAGGGGGATAGATTTATACTAGTATTCCTTTCTATATATATAAAGCTATGTATATAGATGTCAATTTTTCTTTTTCACTGCACTTGCACGCGGTTTTTTGAGGGCCTAATAAATGCACTTTTCACAAACTTTTGGAAGTCTCTCACAAGATTTAGTTAACAATTTTTTTACTAAAAACATTTAACAGCAATTTTCATGCATCTGCACGCTCCGGCCAACTTAATTGGCGATGTCATCTGGGCTTCTGATCAGCGGCGCGTCAATGGGGCCCAGAAGGCTACTGCCTCTTCCGGATTCCAAACTGTGGAAACGGCGCCTGCCCTTGCTGGCATGAGCAAGGGTATGGCAGCTGATCCGCCGTTGAGGCTGACGTCTATTTAATGGGGGCAGAAATGTCATTGCCGTCCCAAGAAATTACAGTGCCGTCCAATTGGCACACGTGGCGGCTGCCTCAAAATAAGTGGGTTTTTCTGTCAGAGACGGCGGCGGCAAGATTTATTCCTCCAAAAATTACTTTCGGCAGGCAAGCAAGAACTGGTTAAAACTGTGACCAGATCTTGGCACAAAGAAATATATGCCGGTGAGGTGCTGGTGGCCGGGTGGCGGAGCGAAAGGTTATCATCAAATGAACAAAAAAATTTATTTCGCCAATCGGTTACTTTTAGGGTTTTTCTTTTTATTTTTTTTTGTTGTTTTTGGTTCAATTTAGTTGGAATTTAAATTAAACGAATTAAACGACTGATGCCCGAACTTGTTGCTTTTAGATTAATATTTTGGTGGGGCTATGTCCGCACCGCCGTAGCCAGACCTTCGATGGTAAAGTAACTTTTGAAAAAAAAAAGGGTTATATCCGGGACCTGCAGGCTTATATAGGGTCTCAGAGCTTTTTTCTTTCCCGGATTAGAGGGAAGATAGCTGCGCTGCCAACGTGCACGCAGGCGGTTTATAGCAGCGGCTGACTCATTCGCAGCTGACCATGACAGACAAAAGCTGATCGCTATAGCGTCGTTACACAAACGCAAGCTGTTAGGATCGCTTACGCGGTTTAATTTAAATAGGAAAACTGCGACCATTACACCACCCGATAATATCCTACCGTTAGACGGGTATATTAGCGGGAATTAGACTCTAATGTCCTTGGCATGAAAAGTACCAATTTCTTTTCCTTGCTGATTTTCAAGGGAATAAAAACAATTTCCGAGTTTCTTTTTGACACGGCATTTAATAAACTGGGGAGCCAGTTTAGCATTAAAATTGTGTGAGAATTTACTAAGCGCAAAATTTCGACAGAACACCTCCTGTCCTTCACGAAAAGAAACAGGCTTGCTGCGTAAATTATATTGAGCCGCATTGCGCTCATAGGCTTTCCTGATGTTTTTCTGAATATCTGTCCTTAGCAATGCCAAATGGTCAGACCGCAACAGGGGGGCCTGCGGTTCTTCCAATAAGGACAACTCCTTCAATAATTTGTAATCGGTACCATGAGTGATCATATCCACCCCGAATAGGGCACGGTATGGAGAACACCCAATCGATTGGTGCAGAGCAGACCTTAAGGAGCATGAAATCCCTGTAATATGTTCATCCCAATGGGTCTGATCCTGTTTTAAATACGAGCGAATGGCGGCGAGTATTGAGCGGTTAACTCGTTCTGCAGCATTGCTCTGCGGTGAATATAGAGCTGTATACAGATGTTTAATGCCAAGTTCGGCTAAGAAGGCATTGAACTCACGAGCTTTGAACTGGGTGCCGTTGTCACTTATTATAGTTTGTGGCACACCAAAACAATGGAAAATTTGTTCAAGAAGAAATTTTTGTATCACAGCTGAGGTGAATTTCTTCAGGGGCTGCAACCAATGATACTTGCTAAAGTGATCTAAGACTATTAACAATCCCACATGACCGCTTTTGCTTCTAGGGTATGGCCCAAGCAGGTCAATATAAAGCCTTTGAAATGGTCTGCAAGTTGGGATGTGAGCACCCATAGGTGGCCGAAGGGTATAATTTGGAGCCTTAGTTTCTTTACATATCTCGCAATTTCGTATGTATTCACGTACATCTTTAACTAATCCTGGCCAGAACAAATGTCTGCGGATTCTCTCAATGGTTTTTTTGCATGCCGGCGTGAGACGACGTTATGCTGTCATGGGCTTGTTTGAGCACATCGACTTTAAGTCGATCAGGCACCCATAGTTTCCACGAAGGACTTTCTTGTGACGAGTCTCCCCTCGAATGTTCGGTGCGTACATACAAAAACTTATCAACTATTTTTATGTCCGGAAACTGAGTAAAATTTTGGGAAAATTTGTCTTTAATTTGTACATAGCTGGCGTCCATAAATGTATCGGACTCAAGATCTATTACAGGACCCATGTCTAATTGAGCGATTTCCTTCTCAGGCAACCGAGACAAAGCGTCGGGAACAATGTGGTCTTTGCCTTTCCGATGGGAGACGGAAAATTTAAATTGTTGCAGTCTAAAAACCCATCGTGCCAGTCTACCCGATATATTTTGCTGGCGCATAAGCCATAGCAAACTAGAATGGTCGGTAACCACTTCAAATTCCTGGAGTTCCAAATAACATCGGAACTTTTCGATGGCTAATATGACTGCTAGGCATTCACGCTCGGTAACACTATAGTTTCGCTGCGCACGGTTTAATTTTTTTGACATGAAAGCTATCGGTTGTTCTTCATTATCTTCAGACATCTGTACTAAAACGGCGCCAATGCCAAAATCACTAGCGTCACAATGTAAGAAAAATTTCTTCTTAAAGTCAGCATTTTTTAAAACCGGCGAGGATGTTAGCACTGTTTTTAAGTTGTCCATTGCGGTCTGTGCTTCAGGGGTCCACTCAAACTTTTTCTTTGTCGATAATACGTCCGTTATGGGGCAAGTGAGATCGGAAAAGTTGCATATAAACCGACGATACCAACCGCAAACTCCTAGAAATCCTCGAACTTGCTTCAAGTTTTTTGGCGGCGGCCAATTTACAATACAAGCTACTTTTTCCGGATCTGTGCAAATACCTCCGCTACCAATCACGTAACC